TTTGAGTACCTACATGCATTTTTGATATATTTTTCATATATACATATATATGATATATATCAATATATGAAAAATTGATGTGGGTACTCAAATGAAAGCTCTTGATTAGTGTAATGTCGGGATGAGTTTATATCTTTAAAAATGTCAATAGTTCACAAGATATAAGGTCATTCCTTAAATATTGACCTTTTTAAAGATATAAGCTCATCCCGACGTTACACTCATCAAAAGCTTTTATCTGAGTATCCACATGCATTTTTGATATATTTTTCATATATACATATATATATAAATATATGAAAAATTGATGTGGGTACTCAAATTAAAGGTCTCGATTAAAATACACTAGCCACAAAATTCCACTTATTCTCTTAATAATATAAATTATGAGTCGTGCACTTTTGGACTTTCCAAAATTTTTTATTACTTTACGATTTAATGTAATAATTTTTTTCCTTTGAGTATAAAAAATTAAACCAGTTTTTTTTTTTAAAAACCACCTATTAAATATATTAATCTCTTCATAAATTCAAGTTAAAAATTTCTCTATAAAAATCTAATTGAAATTCACTAGAATTTTCCCAACGATAAATTTTTATAATTATATACTTAACGATTCGATTTATGCGTAATTTTTAATAACTCTTTATTCTATTTATTGCTTCAATAACGCGACTCATAAATTTTTATAAACAAACTAAAAGTTTTTACAATAATTACAGTAATTATCAATCTTTTACTGCAGTAATAAAATTAGATTTAATAATATTAATCTTAGCACAGCTCACAGTGAAAAAATTAAACACGATTAAATTTATAAAGTTTATATAAAGTTACCCAATTGTATATGAAGATTAAAAAGTAATCAGACGAAACCTTTGAGCGGATTTCAAAATAAAAAATTATTTATTTTAAATCACAAGAATTTTAAATCCGCAGGCCAGTAAGAAAAAAAGAGATAAGTTATTTATTCTATATGATTAATTTAATTTTTTTTTTAAACTATCACATCCATTAATCATAAGCAATAC